CACACACACACACACACACACACACACACACACACACACACACACACACACAAGGTCCACCCCTTGTGCCAAATCGGCCGATTCACACCTGGAGGCTTGTGCTGTGTGTTTGTCTTTAGTGCCTGTTGTTTAGGACACAATGGCTGCAGCAAGACCTTTGACTTGAATTAGGATTTCCAGGTCTAAGATGTAGCTACAGTGATTTCAGGTGGACTTGGAATGAGTGGGCTATGAGTTTTGGGTTAGCTTTCTCAGCACTGCATTTATACTCACCCTGATCCCCATAATAGGCTAAAGTGTGGAGATAACACTGGGATGATCGGATCAAGGGGATCCAGTAGAGATTAAGTGGCTTTACAAAGGCAATAATACTTCCGTTTAAACTCAAAGAGAGGCTGATTAGTGCGGGCTCCGGGGTCGCTCCCGGCGACAATGGCAGGGGGCAACTCATGGAAACTCACTGCATATAGGCCCAGGTTGAGTATGATGGAGTTATAGCAGGGGGGGAGAAACTGTTTGAGACATATAGAAACCTAATGGAATTACTGTTTGTATAGTAAGACCCCACCCCCCATCCCTGTGAGAACATGTGTGTAGGATTTAAGTCACGTGGACACGCCCTATAAATAATCCCTATAATGTGTGCGCCTGAGCCTGTGATGGAAACTAATTAGTTTAAAACGTGCCCTTTGGTGCCTGAGAAATGGACCGTTTACTTCTAATATCGTGACTCCTGGGGTGTATCAGCCTCGCTGACAAAGGAGTTCCTGTCAGACGGTGGACCTGACAGGACCTGACTTGTAGTGAAGTCAGCAACTGGTCTGACTTTGAAAGAGAGCGTGTGTGAAGTCCAAACATCGGGTGTCGAGCTGACCTGAAGCAGGCACACACTTAGCACTCGGGTGTCATCACCAGCCTCACACTCCACCACATCAGCAGACAAATGTGACCTGTGCTCTTCTTTGCCCGTTATTCCCATGCAGAGGTTTAACTCTCAAATAAAAAAAATGATCAATGAAAGATGTTGTTGTTTTGCTCATATGCCTAACTCCGCTTGTCCACATCGGAGTGTCTGGCACCGCTTCGTCGTTTGGTATTCTTCATCACTTAATGCAAAGTGCTCATGTCTCTCACACATCATAAAAAGTCCTCATAGCTGCTCACTTTCTCACTTCACTTCTGTTCCCACGAGAAAAAGATGTTTCCCAGAGTCTCACTTCATGGGTGCATTTTAATGGGGAATGCAACATTTACTAATGAAATTAGGGATAAGTGCTGTGTGATTTAAGAATCTGACCGCTGTTAACACAAAATGAATGTCACTTCACCAACTTTATAGCCGATTAACGATATATAGCCTATTACTACAAAATGAAACAATATTTGATTTTACTAAACATTTCAAGTGTAATTTAGCATTTTAGAAATGACAAACAAAAAACTTCTTGCACTTTTGTTGCTTTTAAAACTTGGCAACGGTGTAATATTGTTGTCTTTTATTTTCAGTGGTGTCCGATTGATTTAAAACTAGTTTCGAGTTAAACAAGGCCCATAATAAAACAATTCTCGATTAAGTGACGTCAGTGACACCTGGCAGCCAATCAGAGGCGGCCTGAGGTTCACTTATAAGGGCCCTCATGCCACCGGAGGCCGGTTTTTAAACTGTTGCTGCTCAGACTGTTATCGTGAAACATCTGGACCGAACACTGCAACATGGCCAGGAAACCACGAAGTCAGGTTCTGGATGATGGCAAGAGCAGGAAAAGGGTAGGAAGTATTGATTTATTTTTTTCTGTATTTTGGGGGCACATTTCATAGCATTATAGTAACATTTTGAGTTGCCATAATGTTTTTATTAATATTAAGAAATAGTTAATTAATAAGGGTAAACCACTGGGTTTGCCATTTAGGCTGAGGAAAACCCATTTCTGGCTGGTGTTTATCTTCCTCTAGCATGACACTTGTTTGTCTTTTTAGCTTTTTTTGTCATCAGTGGATCATTTGACCTCTGACTTTTAGAATAGAGCTAAAACAAGATAAAACCACACACTTCATTATAACAATCTGTGTACTTAATAGGTCATTATAAAGTGAGAAAGGCACAATCCTTTTTATTGACTTTTTTCACAACCTGGAAATGCATTATAACTGAGCTATAAAGAATGTATAAATTATTTATTAATTCAAAATAAATGCATTCACTTCTCCTTTATAGTACGCTGATTAAATC